AATACAATTGTATTCTTTATGTAGCCTATAGATATCCAAACCTGTTCAAGGAAGAATGACTTGTCACCTTTAATTGTCTTTTCGTAATTTCTCAGAGAAATTAAATTCGACTTAAGTGTTTGGCAATAATCTTATTTTCTATCCCAGAAGGATCAGCAACAGCAATTCCTGTTTTAGGAGTATTATTCCATTTAAATGATGTCTTACTTCAAAATAAACATGTCAGGTTTATTAAAGTTCTTTCTGCTCTCTGAAGTTTTATTTACTTTTGGCAGGTTTTGTTCATACTTGTTTGCTTTCTGTCACAAGCAGGTTGAAATGAATATTAAACCTTATCAATCTTAGCTGGCAGCTGTTCAATTCCTCTTTAACTAGTTAAAATGTTCATCTGTCCAACTTGTTTATGTAAAATATTTCAGTGTTTGAGAGTTTAAAGGACGGATTCGGAGCCCATGAATTCATGTTGTAAAAGAACAAAGCAGATAAATAAGCAGGACGGGAACACAGATGGTGGCTGGATCACACCGAGGATTGACCCTTTCCCCCCTCTGCTCTGGATTTGATTGTTCATAATCCCAACCCACCAACAGACCAACTGATCATCTGCTGACGAAACGAACGTCAGCAGTTTCTTCTCTTTTAAAAAGAGAAACGTCTGGTGTGGCTGAATGTGACCTTCAGGATCCACCGGGGAGCTGCAGCTGTAAAGCAGCAGGGAGTTTTAGAAACAAAACAAGGTCAGGCTGTTCGATAAAACCATGAAATTATTACATTTACTGGGATTAGAACTGATCTACCGACACAAAGCAGTCCGTAATTGTGAAATGGAGAAAGTAGTTTGCAACATTTTGTATGGTATAAACCTGAAAAGTGTGGCATGAAAAGTAGTAACATCCTGCTGTTGATCACGCGACAAAAAAAAGTGTTTCCATTGCAGTTTTGCAAAATAAATCTGTTTCAATATGGCTGAAAAAACAAGTTTTATCAAAGAAATTTATGTTCATAATTTCAATTTGTGCAATTTTACGGTTAATAGAAACGCAGTTATTGATGCCAGTCCCATTCATATGTCGTCTTGTTAGTCCAATCTCAAATCCAGGTTTTCTTCTGGTATCGTTCTGTATTTCGCTCCATCCATCTTCCCATCAACTCTAGTATGATTTTATTTAGGAGTATCACAGTTAGAGGGGTTTAATACAAAGAGATGCCACATTTGTAAGATATTCATTTCAAAATGTTTTCTTCTCATTATCAATTTCTTATATTTTGTCTGGAATACTTAAAATGATAGAAACCAGCAAGCAGGGAGCCTCATGATGAGTTTTTAATGACCTGTGGGTAACGTGGCGCAGAGGGCCGGTTCTCCGTCTGCCTCCTGCTGAGACTCAGGCGGGGCTCTGGGCCCCATGTGGGGCTCTGGACTCCATGTGGGGGTCTGGTTTAAGGGATTGTGCTCCTCTCATGTGAGCACTGGGGGAAAAAGAGAGGCAGACACAAACAAAAGCCAGACCTGTCCCTAATCTGGATACCAAATCAGCTCCACAATGAGATTTACAAAAATCTGAACCCCCTTCAGACAAAACAGCACAAGGCTCGATGAATCCAGGATGAAGGACAAAGGATGCACAGAGCACGAAACTCCTGCTTTATCTGCAGAAAACCTCCGATTTCAACGCTTTAGCACATCTTAGAGCTGATAGGAGCAAAAAAACATAATTTATAGATAAAAAACTGAACAAGCAGCACTGTAAAAACACAAAATCTCACCAAGTATTTTTGGTCTAGTTTGTAGGACAAATATATCTTATTATGCTTGAAATAAGAGACAAGAAACTTTTCAGGAAGAAATATGATCATGTTTAAGTAAATAATTATTGAATATTGATGAAAAATACTTTTATTTCACTTATAACATTTTTTCCATTTTATGGAAAAACGTAAACAAGTTATTTCACTTGTTTATCAATATTAAGGAAATAATTACTTTAAACAAGCTCATATCTTTCTGAAAAGTTACTTATTGGTTAGTTTTGTTTTATTTCAAGTGTAATAAGATATTTGCACCAGACCATAAATATTTGGTGAGATTTTGTGTTTTTGCAGTGAAAAATGAATTTTGCACTTTAGGTTCCCTTTAACAGGACATTTCCCCCACGTTATGAGTGAAATAATCTGCAGTGGAACTGGTACTTTCTGATCCATAATGACTAAATAATCTCCTATTTGTTGTGTATGTCATGTCTTTGGTTTTTATGTCATGACTCTGTTGAACAAATCAATTCTTTATCTGAAGCTGAAGTTACTTTGAAATTGGTTTTTATCTAATTTTAAGATATTTGCACTAGAAACCAGACTAAAAATTCTTGATGTTTTTTGCAGTGTAATGCGCTCAGACTCTAAAAATTCAACATATATCAAGGTTCTTGTGATCAGACGAACCGTTTGCTCTACAAAGATCAAATTGTTTCCTGGCGTAATCCCGGCTGCGACCGAGCTTAGCGCGTCGCCTTACGCTTGATGCCGTTGCGTAATGAGCGAGTTCTCCTGCGGGACACGGAGGCGGTCAGCGATTCAGAGGCAGCTCCCGTTAATCTCTTTAAGGGTCAAACCGACGAGCCGCTACCTGCCCAGGAGGAAACGACGCGCTGCTGTTTTTAGCCGCCTCTGTGTGGCTCCGTCTTGTGATGTGAGGATAAAATGGGGGAAGTGTTTCAGCATGAATGTAGGCCACAGATTCTATTTTCCTCAGGCTTCTTATTCTTTTCCCCTTCAAGCCTATAAATAATGCAAAGCGTTTCCTCCTCTTGAGCACATACAAAAACTCCAACCCCCGGTCTGAAGAAGAGCGCAAATTACCCCTTTTTGTCCTGCAGGGTTTCCCTCCTAAAACTCCCACCTCACTTTTTAATTTGGGTTTTCTCCTCCTCATTTGCTCCTCCAGTTGCCCCCTCTTGTCCTTGTTTTTAGGCCGGGTCTGCAACGGGGCAGATAACCCAGACAGAGCGATAATCGTGTTGAGCCACAGCAGAAACACTTGGCTGTCGCTTTAGGAGATTTTGATGTCGGTCTGTTTCTTCCCATGTGACTTCATGCAGAAAAAGGAGCGGCTTTGATTCTCCTGCCGACTCAGAATGAAGCTCAGCTTTTAGATTTCAGCCGTTACCGGAGGTTAATCAATCAAGTTTATTAGTAAAGAACATTTCAGCAACAGAAACATTAAACAGTGAAACCAGTTCACTGCAAAATCACAAAATATCTATTTGTTATAAATGGATTCTGCAGATTCTATATGTGTTTAGATTATGATTTTTAATCTCATAATTATGACAAACTGTAAATTATGATGTAGAAAGTCGGAATTGTGAATGTATCTCAAAATTATGTATTCATATGTCATAATTATAACTGAAAGTCAAAATTCTAGCTTTTTATCTCAAAATTATGTCTTTTACTTTAAAAGTCTAATTATAGCTTCCTTTTGGGCTTTTATTTTTTTCTTTCATGGCGGAAATAGTCTTCCTTGGTAACGCTTTCAGCATTTTAAAACCATTTCATCCTTGCTTTTTTTTTTTTCCTGCTTTCAGCGGGGGGCGGGGCTTGCTCACAGGCCACGCCCCCTTTGGCCTGACTCGTCCTCTCCGTGTGACAGTGGGGGCTGTCCCGAGCATTATCTACTGACACACACACACACACACACACCAACAGAGCTTCGTCTTGTTAAGCTGTTTCATTTTTTATATTGGAAGGACCGGAGGAAGCTGCAGACATCCATCCCTCAGGTTTGTTCCTCCCTCTGCAACTCTGGAGTTTAACTGGGAGGAAAAACAAGTTAACATGACGGAATGGGAGTGAATGGGTTGCCAGGGAGCCTGATCCGAGCGGAGTGAATGGAGGCAGCAGCAAACTAAACTGAGAATGGAGGACGGCTTTTCCAGCTACAGCAGCCTGTATGACACCTCATCCCTGCTCCAGTTCTGCAACGGTAAAATGAAACTAACTTATCCCGCTTGCTTGCCGTGTTCCCGACCAGCTGACCGGGGGTGTTTAACGCTGAGCTGCATCAGAGTTGAGCAGCAGCTCCAGTTCTACACAGCGCAGACCACTTTAGGGGATTTGGAGCTGAAAGTCATGCTGCAGGAGGAATTAAAGCCAGAAAAAATGTCAACATTGTGTCAGAGTGAGTCAGCTGCAGCCAGGAGAGGCGATAAACAAAGACAGGCAGGCGGAGGAACAGCGTTTCAGTTTCATGTCCAGATGAAAACGAGTTTGGATGAGGTCTTCCCTTTTATTTCAGCAGGACAAAACATCTGCAACATGAGTGTTGTCCGAGCTGCTGGGAAGGAGAAATGATGTGTTAGAGGAGGGGTGAGTCAGGAGGACAGGATGACACATCAGTTTAAAGATTTATTTCTATTAAGCTCTGCTCTGTTTATTTGCTAAGAGTTTACACCAAACTGGGTTCATATTGGTAACATTATGACTTTCTGCGTGGTTTCTCTACAGTTAATGGCTCTCCATCCAGGGTGGCATGCCCTGGGGAGTCAATTAGCAACAAGAAAACAAATGATATCAGGTTTTTCTTTTTATTAATTGGATCTTTTGTAAGTCAGTAATAAACTGAGTAGAAACCCACATGAAAATGTGTTTATTTTCATATCTAATGTCTGATAGACTCGCTTCGCTGCACCAAGAACCACTGGAGGAAGCGAGACGAAAACTTATGAAGAAGACATGAGCGCAACTTCCTGTTTGATAAAATGGAAACAAAGTTGGAGTGGCATCAGATTTTGGCAGTGCTAGGTTTTCTCTTTGGTCTGGTGAAAGACTACGAACCATTTTTCCAGCTAGCGCTAGATAAGTATGTTTGTTTTGGTTGTGATTACCCAGAACGCCCTGCGTTAAAGTCCACTTCCTGCTTTTGGAGTGGACTTCAGTCTGCTTGCAATCCGCACTACAGTTCACTTCATCTGAACCGAGACTTAAGTTTTTAGGAGGACCAAGTTATAAATGAACCGGACTTTCAACACAAACTAACTAGAGTTAGACTGAAGTGGATTAAACATGACCGGTGTGAATGCATCCTAACATACAGCTTTAGTTGCGTTTAATAAATTATTTTTCTAATGCACAGCACTGATGAATGTTTCTTTAGTTCTTAGTTGTTTCAGAATAGGATGGGATTGTATGGTTGCATTCATACCAGCCAAGTTTAGTCCGCTTTAATCAAACTCTAGTTTGTTATCTCAAAAGTCCAGTTCGTTTGTAATAGACTAATAAAGCGAACTTTGGTCCACCTAATATCTTTGGTTTTGGTTCGAAGTGAACTTTGATGCAGTTTGAATGCATATGTGGATGCAAGTGGACCGGTGACTGCTCCAAAAGCAGGAAGTGGACTACAGTGCAGGGCATTCTGGGTAAAAACAACCAAAAGAAACGTGCGAGTCTATCGCTAGTGGAAGAAATGGTTCATAGGTTTTTAACAAAGACAAAAGAGAATCCTGGAACTGCTCAAATCTGACGCTACTCCATTTTTGCTTGCATTTTGTGAAACAGGATGTGGCGCTCATGTCTTCTTCAGAGATTTGTGTCGTTTCCTTCAGTGGTTCTTGATTCAGCGCCCCTATAGGTGAGGAGGGGAACAGGTTTCTCTAATAGTTTGGTTCTTGTGAAAGAAAACTGCAACAGCTGAAAATGTATCAGATGTTGCGACTTTGGTTCCCAATCGAACCGAATCCACTTTACTATCGGGCGTGAAAACAACCTAAGTGTGTTCAGTTATTTGTAAGGACGGGCGACATTTGTTCAGGATCCTGCAAACAGACGGTAAGAGCCAAACAAAGGGGATTAGACCGAACACAATGACCGAGCTAACATGCTTGGGCTTCTCCTAACGTAGTAACAGAATATTAATTAAACATTTCTCCAAAAAGTTCCTCTTATTCCTCTAAAGTTTCTCCTCGTCTTTATTTAATGGTAAACATAAGAATGCTCTGAATGCGATCATGCCGCCACAGCTCGTCATCGTGAGTCGCCTTGGCTGTCGTTTACTGTTAATGAAAAAATCAATGCCGTTTTCTGAGATGTGTAAGCACTTTTGCAGCTGATGAGGAGGAAGGGGAGAGCAGGGCCTCTCTAGAGCAAACGAAGGATGAGGAATTACAGAGAGGTGACTGCTTCGAAGGTCCACTTCAGGCCTCAGTGTTCCCATGAATAACTGATGAAGTGAAGCTGGTTAAAACCGTTTTGGACACAAAGAAAGAAGCTGCACAGAGATGGACAAATATTCAATCCATTTGGATTTATTCATCCTGAAATCTTTAAATCCATTCAGAGCAAACTGAAAAAGCAAAGTGGATCTGTTTTCTTTCCTTGTGATGAGTAAAACGACAGAGATGTGTGTTAGTTTGACTGACCTGAAAAACAGGTGTGGTGGCGTGCTTCACATCACCAGATTCCCTGAGGAAACGGCTGTCGCTTCACTCTTAAAAATAAAAATGGAGCAGCTGGAGGTTCTCTGGTTGATGCGTTATTATGTTAAAGCATTTGAAAAACTTTGTCTTGCTGCATTTATCTCAGTGTGATTTCACACTTTGAAACTTCCTTCGTGTCTTATCAGAGATAGATCAAACGATTTTCAGTTACTAATAATATTTGTAACAAGAAATAATTCAATCTAAAAATTTAAATATTTTTCTTGCTTCTACATGACATTAAAGCTAAATAACATTCAAGTCAGCACAACCACAAAACAAAGTAAAGCAACAAAAGGTTAAGACCACTAGCTTTATGCTACTGTCTATAGAAATTCCCATTCATTGCTAATAATTAGCATCTGTGGTGCTGTAATAAACTTGTACGCCCCTCACACAGTTTTGTACGTTTATTTTTATTTCATTGATGTTCAAAGATAAGATGCCAAAGAAAAATAACAAAAGTAGCACTACTTCAACGTATTTTTACTCAAGTAAAAGTAAAAAGTAGCCATCCAAGAAATCATTCAAGTAAAAAGTCTAGCAATTGATCAAATTATCAATCATTTAAAATTTAAAATAACATCACCTGACAGATCAAACTATGTAGTTTAGAGGAAATTTTGGTATTTTAAGAATTAAAATGACAATAATTTATATAAGTAACAAAAATTACAAAATCAAGTAAAATAATTTTTTTCCAAATCTGTTTCTTTTGGTAAAAAAAACTTATGAAACTTTAACAAAAGCTGCATGTGTGTCTGGTGAATTTTGGTTAAAACAAGTTTGTCTTTAATTCAGTAGGTAGAAAATCCAGAAATATTATTCAAGTAAAAGTAAAAATACTCTGAAAAGTAAATTTCTTTCAATAAAGTTCCTCAAGTACATGTAATAGAGTAACTGTAAATAGTTACAACCCAACTCTGATAATATGGGACACTTAAATACGTACCTTAAAATCCAAATTATTTTTTAGTTTGTTACTCCTGTGAGGTTAAAGTCAATATCCATCATAACACTAAGCTAATGACAAATGATGCCTGTAATAGTAGGTATGTTTTCCACATTGGGTTGCCCAGTAATAACGAAGCATCTGGTGTTGACATGTTAAGGGAGGGCCCCAAATTAAAATCCGCTCAGGGCCCCAAAAATGCTTGGGCCGGCCCTGCCTCTATGTTCCTGCTCCCAAATGAAAACACTCATCTTCACAGAGGAACTTGTGTTTGGCTCCAACAGACTGCCTTACCAGGGGCGCACACATCTACTGTGTTTATCCTGAAGGCCAAACTGACATCATCGTTCTTGGCTCCAGCCGTCCAAACCCACTCAGAACAGAGGCAAATGATGTCATTCACTCCCCTCTTTCGCCCCGTGTGTTGTCGAGCATCCAACCAGACTAATGTTCTGAGAGCGGCTCAGCTAAACTACAGAAAACATGAGCAGGCTGCACGCTTTGTCCTCTGGCAATCAGAATAAATGAAAATTAGCCCCGTTACAACCTCAGACACACCGGATGTGTCTGAGGTTGTAACGTAGTCAGATATTTTATCTGGCTGACTGCAGCTGATGGAGGAAGTAAACCCTTTAAATAGGCCTTTCTCTGGGAAATCAGATTTAGAACAAGCTGGTCTGCAGAAGAGAGAAATTTAATTGTGTTAGTTTAGGGTTTATTGCTGCTAATGATGATGGAGTTTATTTGTAATTGCTTTCACAGATGATTTGATGTGTGTTGGTTCATTTTAAGGGGAAGAAAGTGACCGCTGTCAGCTCCATTGAATAATCTGACGGTTGTTTCCTGTTTTGTCTGAAAGCTCACTACGGCCAGCTACTTCCTTAAGCCCAAAATAGCTGAGTTTACATTGTCCGTGTTATGAGGAACACTGATGAGAGTAAAAATACAAACCCTGGAGTCAAACCAGAAGAGAGCAATCAGCCTTCTGCTGCAATTCTTGTTGGTTGTGTAGGAGGCTCCACTTCTACTTTTCAAAGATGTAGGTTTGTAGAACTGTAAGTCTATTTGCAGCCATTTCACATGCAAGTGTAAACATTGAGTTGGGGGGCGTGGCCAGCAGCAGATTATTTGGATTTAAAGTGACAAGAGACTCTAAAACAGCTAAAAATGATCAGAACTAAGCAGAATAAAATCTCATTATCTAAGAATAATTTAGTGCAAAAAATGCAATGAACATACCACAGACCTAACCTGTTTAAGGAAGCATAACAGGTCACCTTTAAGAAAGATTTCTGTTCATTTTTACCAGATCTTTCTGCTCCATGTTCACATCAGGATTAAGGAATCGTGGATAAAAGCTGCGATGTGAGATCATAAATGAAGAAGGTAGGGATTAATTAGTGACAGTGCAGCTGGACTGAGCAGATGTGAAGGGTGCGGTGGGAGTTTAATAAAGACTGAAGCTGCTTTGATGCTTGTTGGAGGTATTTTTGAAGCACATCAGAGATGACAGGACTTCATCTAGCCTCCGTCTCTTCTTCTCCGTGGATCTGCGTCTAG